CCGGCGGCGGGGGCCTAAACTGGACGGCCATCGATTCCCGACAGTGGCGCTCCGGGAGTGGCCGGCATAATTTACCAGGTCGGCCTCTGCTACTTTCCATTTAAAAAATTCCAGTGGCTATGTTAATATTAAAGGGAGTAACTGAAACGACTTAACATTTTCATTTAGGTTCTTATAAAACTCCCCCCGCCCCGCCCCCACACACATTCTTTCTGGAGAAAGAATAAGGAGTCTGTGTATACCCCACTCCGCAAAGCATCATCCACCAGATGAAAGGAGGAAATTAAGTGGCATTCTATTTTTTAAATTGCACCCCGGCGGGGGGAGGGGGGAGGATACCTGGATTGCTTAAGAGCGATGAAAAGGAAGAGATCTACTTCTTCGGGGAGCAAAAACATGTGTAAGTTCTCAGAGAACTTCTCCAAAATGCTCTAATTGTTGGGAAAACCGGTGAAAATTGCAGCGAAATAAAGTAACGACTTTGGACTTCCCATCTCGGAGATGGGAACAGAGATTAATGAGTTCTGTAAATAAAGTAGAATAATGCAAATTATTAATGCAAATTCAAGTTTAGAAGAAAAGGAAGGATAAAACATTTGAGTAGTAGAGTTAAAAAAAGGAAGGAAATAATAGTGAGGAAAACACCTAGCAGCTACACAACCATATCCTCAATGAAGCAAGTGACATTAGCTTTTTCTAAAGGTTTGTAAAATGATAGAAGTAAATTTATAGTAAGGAAATTATATATCAAATGGGATCTATATGATCTCTGTCTGCTTTAGGACTTGATCTCATTAGTAAAGTAGATATTTAGTGAATCAGGTATCATACTGGAATAAAATACTGACAGGCTCCTAATAGATATACACGTTTTATTATTTCCAACTTGTCAAACCTCCAAACTCCTGTGGAGTAGATAATCCTTCACCCCATCCTGGCCCCAAACAATACATGCTGGAAATTCATTAGGACCATGTCAGGAAAACTAAAATGCCTAAATTCTCAAATCGCATTTTGCTACACAAATAAGATCTGAGATTATATAAAAAACTATTTTCTAAAACCCATACCTTTTTAGATCATTTCACCTTTGACCCCTTCCAGATCTTTTCAGAGCCATTTTTCATACACACAATTTTTATTTTTGTTTTACTTTGTTTGCTTGGTTTTACTTTGAATTGATGTAATAACTTTAAAGATCACCCAAACCCCCAGTGCAATGATATGACGGCTTCTAGTTGGTGCTAAGGCTCTCTCACTACCTAAATGGCGTGGTTTAGCTAATTAAACTTACATGCCATGTATTAGATTGAACCATATGAAATTTCCATTTTATAGCTAAATTCAGATGGTTCAACTTACAACTCAGATGTGGGGTCTGTGTAGAGGCAGAGAGTACAGGTGGGGTACTGAGACCTAGCCTGCTCTTAGCTTGCCAAGCCTGGCTTAGGGTGTCCTGGAGGAATGAAAGCCTTTTTCTAATTGGACTACTTAGAAGTTGTGCCTTTGCAATTTGTCTGTAAAGAAGGAGCACTTTTTCTAATCCAAAAGGACATCTAAGATGATAGTGGTGAACAGGGAAAAACCATTGCCTATCTTGGGGCAATATTTGTTCTTGAAAAGGCAAAATGTCATGTGAATTTTAAGCCTGAAATGGACAAGGATCTCCTAGCTGGCTAGTTTTTGTTTTAGGTGACAAGTGTGCCTTTCTCTGTATCCTCAGATAAGATAAATGGGAATACAATATACTCTTAATTCCAAAAAGTATTTAAGGTTACAGACAAAACAACATAATGTTTTATACGTAATAATGTAAATATGAGTTCAAATTATCAGAAATCAATAAGGAAGCCAGTAAAGAAGTATCAAGTACCTGGGATGAATTAATAATTTAATTATTGCTAAGTTTAGCTCCATCTGTTTTGGCTGCCAAAATAAAAAGAAAATACATAAGTGTACATATAGTCACATGAAGAGTCAAGTCTTGTCCTGGCATGGAATTCTATGAAGACTTTATTACAGAATCCAATATAGAGTACATTAAGCAATACAATAGAATTGAATATGGATTTGTAAAAAAATTATGTATGTTCTTCAAATGTATATTTAATATTTTTAGACGCCAAGAACACAATATTAAATATTAATTCAATGAAAGCATTTCAGAGGAACCTAAAATAATATAAATCAGATGCAATACTTTCTAATTATATCAATCACCTTAATAAATGTGAGGAGTTGAGGGTATTATGTAATTCACTGTAAGATCATAACTTAGTATTCTGCATCGAGGAAAGAAGGAACCCAAGGAAATAGGTAACATATTGCTTAGATCCTATCATAAATAGCAGGCTTCCCTAGAAACTTTTGACAAGAATTAAATCACAGTCAGTGAATGACAGAAGTATAATATCATATTCTATGATCTCTTTACACTTTTAAAAGGCATGGCAGCAAAACTGAAGTTTACCGGTCAGAATCATATTCTGACTCAGAGTCTATTTCTCTTGCACTTAGAAATAAGCCTTGGGACACCTTTGAGAATCCCTACAGGTAGAGTAAAGAATTTTCCTAATAAAGAGCTAGAGAAATACAAGGGAGAGATTTCTGTTTCTGATTATGACAGATTAGGTCTTTCCTTCTCACTGAATGAGCCAAAGAACAAAATTTGAAATTTAAAATAAAGGCATTAAAGCACTAATGAGATAATGAGGAACTATCTGGCCAGATTTTGGAAAAGAGGCCAGGGCTCTGGAAGGTGTTTTCACAGTTGGGGCTGCTTTAGGCCTGGCAGTTTTTGAGAGCCTGAATTAGGCAGCTGAAAGGCTGAACTAAATTTTTGACAACACCTGGAAGGACAAAAGCGAGAATGATATAGTCAAAAAGTAGGAGTGAAATAAAAGTAAAATGACTCTTACATGGGTAGCACCCTGTCTCCAGGTATCTGAGCAACCCAGAAAAAAGTCTCAAACCCTGAAATTGGTTTAAAGTAATTCCAGTCATTCAACAAACAAAAGTCACTCCAGAGGAAGATAACATCATCCTGGACCATGAATTATTTCTACAAATGTAAGATCTGTGCATATAGGCAAACATTTGAATGCATGGTAGAATGGTAGAGGAGGAGAAGGATATGAACCAAATCCTGATTTTGCCATCTGTTCCTGAGTTCTCTCTTCCAGATCCACTCTCCATTCACATCCCCCTAGTCTCTGCCTTGGGAGGCTAGTCTGTATGAACTAAATCAATGGGCTTCCTTGCTTTCTGTTTACCAACTGGGATTGATCAATGGTGAGGCCAGGTAGGGTATCTGAGGGAGGAAGGGGATTGGGACTTTGTGAGTCACCTCAGGCTGGCTATGTTCTTCAATAGGAAGTCATTGCTTTTCTCAAGGGGCAGATCCTACAGGATCCACTTTCCTACAGGACCTCATAACTGTCCCTCACCTTGTCCTCTGGTACCTAGAATTGATGATAACTCTGAAGCCATTAGCCCCAAGTTTCAGCACAGTCCTTTGAAGCTTCCTTTGTACCTCTTCCACACCTTCGTAATTAGTCTTTTTGCAAACAAACCCACCTCGAATTATCTTGTATCTTGACTCTGATAACTTTTGAGCTTTTGCAAGCTTTGACTTTGATAACTCATGAGCTTTTGCAAATTAGAAAACTAATTTAACTCTTTGGGTCTGGTTCCTCACCCATAAAATAAAGTGTTGAATTAGATTAAATTGAAAATCCTTTGAAACTCTAATGTGCTGTGTTTAAGTATTCAGTTGAAATACCAGTTCCCATACTAAATTGAGATGTGTAAAGAACGAAAATACCACTGGGTAACGAAATAGTACATGGGGGAACTTTCTCTTTGTAGAAATATTCTAGCGAATACACATAAAAAAGTCTGAGGTAGTTAGAATATCACCATTTTGCAACTTTTAATGAATTTGGATCCAGGTATGGATCATCAATAGTCACTAACATCACTAAAAGAGAGAGAACTAGATATGTGCTTCCTGAAGGAAAAACACACCACCAATTATGAGGTAGTCATACCAAAAATGGTGGGCATGAATCTCATCAAATCCCTAGAATCCAAGGCTGAGATTGCACAGCTAATTCCCAGAAATATAGAGGACCAAAACAGGTTAAGACATTCTGGAGATGCAACTTGCAGAACCGACACTGTGGGAAATTTTGTCAGGTGAATGGCTCATTTTCTTACACAAGTAAGTTACTACCACTGTAACTGATGCTAAGTTCATTGTCTAGTAATAACATGGTCAAATGTGTCTTAGGGACATTTCCAGTTGAAAAAATAAGTGCCCAGCACGCTTTATGTTCCTATCTCCTGTCTCCCATCTAGATGAGGAGCCCAGAGGAAAAAGGTTACCCAGTGTCAGACAAGGAGTGAGTAACAAAACAAGGGTTCTAATCCAGAGCCTATGTTATTATCCACAATGAAGGCATAAGATCATCACTTCAGAAAATATCAAGCAGCTTGCTTTTTTTTTTTGCTTTGGTGTGAAGACGTGCAACCCTTTCATTTCACAGCTGCATAAAGTTTAAAAGAAGGGCAATGAGAAGTTCAAACAGTCTATTTGCCAAATTTGGAATTAAAATATCATGTCAAAAGACCATTCTTACTTGTTATTCTGGAAGTTGTGTAGAGTAGTTGTGTTTGCAAGCTCTTTCGTCAGAAGCCAGGGAGAGGGAAGTCCTGAGGAACAACCTGAGACTAAAGTCAACAGGGGTGGATGCTGTTTGTGTTGATAGTTACACTATTACCACCACTACTACCTCTTATTACTTTAAAATTACTCTTATTACTACTACTAGAGTGCATGTTTGATGTGGTGGTTGTTAAAAAACAAGTTTAGAAACCAAGGCTGGGGCCAGATTTTGAAGCATCTTGATGAAAGATAAATTTAACTTCATCCCCCAAGAAAAAGAGACATTCAAGGATTTTGAGCAGAGGAGTAATATGATCCAATCTATATTTTAGAAAGAAAACTCTCACTGATGTCAACATCTGGGCCTGCAGCTAAACACAAAAGGAAGTTGAGAAGCTTCTACAGTATTCCAACCCTGGACTAGGGAAGGAGCAGTGATCTTGATGCATCTCACGTCTCCTCTGGTAGGAATGATTTTTGGTGGAATCTTTGATATGCTTCTTCTAAAAGCATACTTGCCAACATTTTCATTTCTCTTTATGTCCCAGGAAGGCAAGGCAATTTTAATAGAGAAATGGTTCTCTCCACGTTTTGTGAAAAGAAGACCAAAGCCTCCTCTATTTAAAATTGCCCCATGCTGCCCCTGATCGATCCATGTACCTACCATCTCCAGACTGTCAGAGTCTTGCCTTCTTCTCCCCCCTCCCAACTTTGACTAAAATTCTTACTATTAAAAGCATCCCTTTAATTTAGATAAACAACTCATGAAAAATATATACACAGGGCCACAGTAAGAGTTTTTGTGTAAGCAACAGAAACCAAAACTAAAAAAAAAAAAAAAAAAAAAAAGACTTATTTTTTTTTTTTTTGCAAAGATATTAGGGCTCAAGGCATCAAAGCAAGCCTGGGGCCCAGGCTCTAAAATACAGAAACTAAGAGCCCTCAAAGGCCAGGAGCTACAGCCAAAGTCACTCCACAGGAATGGTACCTGTGACTTTGTCACAGCTATTTTTTTTTTTGAACATTACAATTGTTAAAGACGTAAGTCCTCTAAAATTAATAGTGCCGGTTCATGAATAAATAAATCAATGAGACAGAATAGAAAATCTGAAATAGAGTCAATTACATATGAAAATTTAGTGTAAGATAAAAACAGCCTTTTAGATGATTGCAAAAGAAGGACTTTAAAAAGTCATGTTGGAATAATTGCAAAGCCATATGGAAAAGATAAAATTGGATTCATTCCCCACACCATACACCAAGAGAAATTCCAAATGGTGATGAGATTTAATTATAAAAAATGAAGCTATATGAGTACTCAGTAAATATATGGGTACATTCTTTTCAACCTAGGAACAAGAAAAACTTTCAGGACCATGACTCAAAATCCAAAAGCAAGAAAGGAAAAAATAGATAAACTTGATAACATAGAAATAAAAGATCTTTACATCGGAAAAGATATCATAAGCAAACTAGACAGACAAATAACAAACTGAGAAAAATAGCTACAACTGATTCAAAATGAATTTCTAAAAATAGAGAAGAGATTAAAAAAACCTATAGAAAATGAGTAATAGGAAGCCACAGGCTATTCATAAAGATGGAAGTACAGGTGTCTTTTACTCATATAAAAAGATGTTCAATGAGAAATAATTCATAGTGAGAAATGCAAATTAAAATTACACTAACATTCCACTTTTCACCTAATATGTTGGCAAAAATCCTAGAAGTTCAACAACACACTCTATAAGAAAATGGGCATTTGTTAATTTCTGGTGGGATTTTTAAAAAATGATAAAATACCTACAAAGGAAAATTTGTCAATATCTAGCAAAATTATATATGCACTTACCCTTTGACCCAGCAATCCCACTTCTAAAAACGTATTTCAGATATACATTGGTAAAATTGTGAAAGATATTTTTACAACGTTGTTCATTTCAGTACTATTTACAATAACAAAAAAATTAAAAATCACCCAAGCGTTCATCCATCAGGAACTGGTTTAACAAACTCTGATATATTCACTAAGTAGAGTACTTACCATGCAGCCATTAAAAGGAATGTTGACTATTCTATACATAACCATTTTTTTTCTAGTTTTCTAGTGGTTTACACTGAGAAGATAATTCTAGATTCTATTCCTCTCTTATGGCTGGGATCAGAGATCCAGGTAACTTTTTTTTTTTTTAAGTCACATGTTATATTTCCACTGAATTTTGTAATACAAATGCATGTGGGCACACACACACACACCGTGTATGTGTCACTTGCACAATAAAATGTGTCACTTTCTTATAACACGCTATATACGACTTGCTACTCCTTATATTTTCAGAACCCAGACAACAAGAAGTACATGGCTACAAACCTTGAAAGAAGATAAATAAATGAGGTGATTCTCTGTCAGGAGGGAATTTCTGGATAGTGGTGCAGGGAAAGAAAACTCCAACAGAAGCCAGGTATCTTTGTTGAAGATAAAGAATTGGAATTTGTGGAGGCTAAGGCCGTTAGAATGTGAAGGACAGAGTATCCAAGAGGAGGAAGGTATGCAGAGAAAGAATTCCAGAAATCTGCATACAAGACCTTCAAGTCTTTGATACCAGACTGCACGTGCATCGGATAAAACCTCATAGGGCAAGGAAACAACATCCTCTGAGGAAAGAGTAGAATATCAGAGAACTCTAACATCACGCAGAGCTGAGAATAATTTGGGTTTTCTCCAGCCAGAGCGGAGAGAACTCATCAAAATGGAACATTTAGAAGAGATTCCAGAAGATCTACAACAGCAAGTGAGCTAGATTATCTCTAGCGTAAAGGCCATTTAGGCCTGCCTTGAATGAGCTGAGAAACAAGAAAATTCACCCATAAATAAGTAATTGCTTTCCAGAAGAAATTGGATACTTTTAAAGAAATATAACAAAAATATAGCATTCAATAAAGTAAAACACAAAACACCTCCAATCCTATCAAAACTTATCAAAGAAGGGAGAAAAATGTGACTTTTAACGAGGACAAAAATCAGTTGTAGAAACAGACCCAGAAATGACAGAGACAATGCAATTAGTAGACAAAGACATTATAACAGATATTATAAATATGCACAAATTCTCAAGAATGCAAATGAACACAAGACCATAATGAGAAAAGAAACAGAAGATGTAACAAAGAACCAAATGGCATTTCTAGATGTGAAAAACACAGTAGTTTATTTATTTTAGAGAGAGAGCACACAAATAGGAGGGGCAGAGGGAGAGAGAGAGCTCGAGCAAGGGAGGGGGCAGAAGGAGAGGAAGAAGCAGACTCCCCGCTGAGCAGGAAGAGGGATGCAGGGCTGGATCCCAAGACCCTGAATCATGACCTGAGCCAAAGGCAGACACTTAACGGACTGAACCACCCAGGTGCCCCTATCCTTTTAGATATTTAAAATATGTTTAATACAAAATGCCCAAATTTGGAATGTTTTTAAGAGCCTCAGAATTTATAAATCATTCTTCTACTCAAGAAGAGGGGAGATAATTGCTTTATCTCCATTTGTCTTGTTCTGGAACCACACTGCATCTATATCAGGGGACTGTGGGAGGCTCAGCCTTGCTCTTAAACCCATGCCTGCCTTGTGAGAGGCAGAGAGACCAGAAGTTGGTTATGAGGAAGGAAGGAAAGAATGTTGAACAGACAGAATCAATGATTACAGGCTTTAAAGTTATCATTTGGAGACTGAAAGGAATTACCTAGTCTAATGTGCTTTTGCATGAATTCCATTGCATTACTCCCATCAGTTCTTCCTCCATCCTTAGCTTTGTGACACTGAGAATGCTTTGTAAGTACTCAAACATCATAGTCACATGCAAAAGACTATGTCCTTGTACCCTGATGTTTATAGTAGCATTATCAACAATAGCCAAACTATGGAGAGAGCCCAGATATCCATCAACTGATGAATGGATAAAGATGTGAGATAGATAGATAGATAGATAGATAGATAGATATAGATATAGATATAGATATATATTATAGATATATAATTATATAGGTATATATTATTCAGCCATCAAAAAGAATGAAATCTTGCCATTTGCAATGACATGGATGGAGCTAGAGTGTACTGTTAAGTGAAATAAGTCAGTCAGAGAAAGACAAATACCATATGATCTCACTCCTGTGTGGCATTTAAGAAAGAAAACAGATGAACATAGGGGAAGGGGGAAAAAAAGGAAAAGAGAGAGAGAAATAAGCCATAAGAGACTCTTAATGATAGAGAATAAACTGATGGTTGATGGAAGGAGGTGGGTGGGGGATGGGTTAGATGGGTGATGGGTATTAAGGAGGACACTTGTTATGATGAGCATCGGGTGTTTTATGTAAGTGATGAATCACTGAATTCTACTCCAGAAACCAATATTGCACTGTATGTTAATTACCTAAAATTAAAAATTAAAAAAAAAGAAAGACTATGTCTTTACCAATAGTCCTGCTAACCCAGCATGAAGGGGATTAAATAAGAAGTAGTTGATGGCAATAATTGGAAAATAAAACATCCAATTATTCCCAAATGAGACATCTTTATCACACCAATCATGGCCATTTATAACCAAAGGCAGAAATTACAGCGCTGTCACACATGTGTGAACATGATGTTGATTGCATCACTTCCTAGTGTCTGTAGTTCTGCCAGATGAGTCCCTCTTACCTCTTATACTGAGCCAAAGCATGCAGTTTCAGTAAAAAGCCTACAAATAATATACTTTCTATTGTGCTAGTCATTTCTATTCCTCCTGGTTATTACAAATTTGTAGGGGAAAAGAGATAAACTCTGAAATGTAGGTTTCTTCTATTTTCTCTTCTGTGTCCTCTACAAATGCATCTCTGTTGTGCTGTTGGGTTGGAGGGAAGGTTTACAGCATTTTTTATCTTTTTTAGGAAGTGGGTGTTTTCTATTTACATGAATATTAGACTTGCAGAGGAAACATTTTTGTTAACTTTCCCCAAAAGTTTGTTACATACTCTAAATCCATATTAATTTTTACTTGGACTCTCTATTCTTCATTGACTACATCTCTGCTCATTTATTATTTCTCCCATGCACCAATTAAATTTAGAGTGGTTTAATAGGAATATGGTATGCATTCCTCTAAAAATAAGGCATTTAGCAATTATCATTAATGAACAGTATTAGCTCCTCATGTACTAGTGACCCTGACTCAGTCTAAGAATAAGTTGTACTCAAGAAAGGATAAATGAACTAACTGAAAAAAAAAAAATAAAACTTGTTGCATTAAGCAATGTATTTCCAATAGCATTTTACTTTTTGTATTTAATAATTACTAAAATTTATTAAATGTTTATATAATTTTGATCAATAATACTAATTATAACACTAGTACTACAAGTACTACTAATAAATGATAATGGATCCTAGGAAAAAAATAATCCCTAAAGCCATATGGTTATAAGAAATTTTTTTGAATTAAAATTTCAATTTATATACATAATTTTCTTTCTGATGTATGATAAGGAAATCAATCAAATAATTCCAGGCATAAACATATATTACATTAAAACAAAATTCAGGGGAAAATAGTAGAATGGAATTATGAGTTCAGGGACAAAAAGATATGATAGATTTTCTAACAATGATGACCTTCCTTGTTCAGACATTTTTTAAAAAGTGATAAAGGTAGTATAAAGACAGGCAGCCTCTACAAGACGGACCCCAGTGATCCCTTCCTCCTGGTATTCATGCCTGTGTCATCCCATCCCCTTGAGGATAGGCTTGACCTAATGATTTGCTTCTAACAAAGAGAATACCGAAGACGTAAGGGGATACATCTTCTAAGAGTACGTTACAAAAAGACTGTGATTTCCATCTTGCTCATCCTCTTTTGTCCCCCACCCCCCTCTCTCTCTCCCTCTCTCTCTCTCTCTCTCTCTCTCACACACACACACACACACACACACGTGCATGCACGGGTCATATTGTGAACTGCCTTATGGAGAACCCCAGTAGCAAGGAGCTAGGAAGGGCTGCTGCCATTGGTCAGCAGAGAACCAGACCCTCACTCAAACAGTCCACAACGAACTGAATCTTGCCAACAATTATGAGAGTGAACTTAGAAGCAATTTCTACTTAGTCAAGTCTTCAGATGAGACTGGAGCCCTGGCCCTTGACTGCAGTCTTGTAAGAGATCTTGAGTGACCTGACCCAGAGAAACTGTGAGAAAATAAATGGTTGTTTTCAGCGTTAAGCATAGGGACGATTTGTTACACCGCACTAGATAGATAACTAATACAATAATTGTGTCAGATGGCTATTGTTTCTAGAATCCATTAGATACATTTAAGAGTGACAAAATATTTTGAATTTAAAAATGACATTTTTCAGTAATCGTGACATTACATCATTTGCAGCTATTTAAACTTATGAGTAAGACATTTATAGGGCAACTTGTGATGTGTGTGGGGTTCATAATTTTTCTGAATCCTTTTGGAGAGTACATGAACAAAAAATTAGCAAAGTCCTGACAGCACTGGGAAGCCTTCATTCTTTAGTGATAGTGAAAGAGGTTAAGGGAGAGAATTAAGAGTGAAATAGGAACGAGAGGGGTTAATTTTCTGCTTTGAAGAAGTAAGTTTAGTACTTGAACAGAGCTAGGAAGTGCAACAAAAATAAGAACCCCCAGCAACTGAGAGCTTACAGTTAAACGTGCTATCTCATTTAATCATCACTACAAACCCTTGAGGGAGATTTTATCATCATGGAGGTTTGAGGGGACCATAGCCCATGTTGTTATCATACCCTATGTCATTTTGTTGAGTTGAGCTTACAGACAAGGCACCCAGTTATTTATCCAGCCATTTATCCATTGGAGCCAATATCCATTTAAGGGATACATCTACCCATTTGTCCAATTTATCCAATACATAATCAAGGAGCTGTGAGTACATTTACAGCATCACATAAATATTAATTTGCCCAAGAGCTAAAAGTCTACATATAGATGTCAGACTCTCCTCATCACAAAAGTAAAAAGCATGAGGCTTAGGTCTAATCCTAAGATTCTGATTCCAAAGTCCTGTGCAGTTGATGGCTCTGTCCTTCCAGAAAACAAGGAAAATTATTAAATGCATTTTATACTGTGTTCAATCACTCACGGATTCTTGTTTCTCCTTCTACATAGAAGCATAGTAATATAGTAATCCCATAGTAAATACATATCCTAGACCAAACACAAACACTTTAGTTAAGATTCAAAAACATTTTTATTGTGCCAAAAATATATATCACAGAATTTACCATTTTAACCATTTTTAAGTGTACAGTTCAGTGCCATTAAGTACATTCACACTGTTGTGCAACCATTATCACACCACCATTCATCTCTAGAACTTTTTATCTTCCCCAACTGAAACTCTACAGTCACTAAACACCACCTCCCCATTGTCTCCTCTCCACAGCCTGCTGATGACCACCATTTCTACTTCAGGTTTCTATACATTTGACTACTCTAGGTAACTCATATAAGTAGAATCATATATGACTTGTCTTTTTTTTGGCTGGCTTATTTCATTTAGCATAATGTCTTCAAAAGTTTATCCTTCATGTTGTAGCATGTGTCAGAATTTCCTTCCTATTTAAGGCTGAATAGCATTCCATCGTATGTATATACCACATTTT